AATCTATTCTCCTCAACCAATCTCTTACTTTTCTAATTTCTTCATCATTATCAAACAACAAAATCCACAAACAAAAAAAAGAAAATTTTTCTAATTTTTTCGAACCCAGCACTTGGATTCTTTCTAGCCCTTAATTGGGCAGCCAGGTGTTGGGTTCAATCTATTCATCTCAACTATTTTTTTTTTTTTTTTTTTTTTCATTCATCTCAACCAATCTCTTGCCTGGGTAGTTTCTTCATCATCATCAAATAAATCCCACAAACCAAAAAAACGAAAATTTTTCTAATTTTTTGCCACTAGTTTGAAGGAGCCCAGTGCTGGGTTCAAAAGAACCCTCGCCTGGGTTCCTTTGAACTCAGGGATCAATTATCTCAACCAATCTCTTACCTTGCTAGTTTCTTCATCATCATCAAACAAAACCCACAAACAAAAAAAAAGAAATTTTTTCTAATATTTTGCCACTGGTTCGAACGAACCCAAGCGTTGGGTTCGATCGATCGATTTCGAGGGCAGAGAGAAAATGAAAGAGAAGAAGAAAAAAATAAGAAAGAATTTTTATTTTTTTATCAGGTTATTTTTTTTTTCACGCCATTATTTTATACAATCCAGACAACCTTATTTTATTTCTTTGCTCACTCAATTAACATATGTTAATTCATAAAATTACTCTTTTTTTTATTTTGACTACACAATGAAAAACAATCATCTTCATTATTTGTCTCACTCCATCCGCATGTTATACAATTCAAATTCAAAATTTCTTATTTTTAATAAAAAATAATAATTAAATTACTTAAGTAGTTGGCTTCATAAAATTACTATTACATTGTCTATAGTTATTTGTTTATGCGGTTATTTGTTTTTTTTTTTTTTAACATAGTTGTTGAGGGGCGGGCTCGAAGTCTGCCCATGAGGAAGGGAAGAATGCACCTCAAGTTGGCTGTGTGTCAGTTGATCCGAAGGTTCAGATGCGTTTATGCGGTTATTTGTTGCGGAAATAAAGCTTGAAGAATTTATTAATGTAACTTTTTTTTTTCAGTGGTGAGTGGTGACCCATATCTAGGTTTCTGAAACTTTATTAGGATTCAAATAGGGGCATGAGAAATAAATATATTAAACAAATGGGTATGGGCGCAATTCACATCCATAGTGCACGGAATTAGAAATTTCCTAGATGGTTGGAACTTTTTAAAGGGAGAATCGTACAATTTTGGTTCTCTTTTAGTCTTTTTTTGTTAGGTCATACCCAATATTCAAATAAAAAATGGTTTTTTTTTCCACGTATTACAAAACTTTGTCAAGATTCCTTTCATTTTACATCTCAGTTCGCTGGTGGTTGTAAATGAAAGAGTGCCAATAAAGACAGGTCCTAAAACTAGGTACAAATTCATGGAATTAGGTTTTTCCTCCCAAAAAAAATTGGGAAAAAAAAAATTCTGAATTTTATTTTTAATTTTTGCCAATGGAAAATTGTTTTTGTTAATCAAGTGATTATATTGATTTTTGAATTTACCCTAACTCAATTCCCTAGACATGAAATCTAGGAAGATTAGCATGTGTTGATGATTTTTTTTTTTGGATAAATTTGATATTGAATTATATAACAAAAAATAATTTTCTCCTGTTTTTATAAATTATAAATGAACTAAGTTACAGCACCAGTAATTTCTAGAGGACTAAACTTGATTATACTCGAGCTCAGAAATATCAAGCTCAAGCTCAAACTTGAACATACGCAGGTGAGCTCAAGCTTGGCTCACGAGTTTTTAAAAAAATTTTAAATTAAAAATAATTGACATAATTATTAATTAAATGTATACTTAGTCAACCGTATGTTTGATTTCAAGAAATAGAAAAGGAGAAGGGTTGGAGAGGGGAGTGGTGAAAGTTTTTTTATTTGATTAGTAAAAGATTTAGAAGGGACAGAAGAAAAGTATAGTCCTTTTATTTTTTATTTTAATTCTTTTATTTGTCCAAATAAAGGAAGAGGAGATGAGAGAAATGAAAAAAACATCGTATTTTTTAATTTTTCATCCTTGTCTTTTATTTATCTTAAATCAAATGTGCTATAATTTTTTTATTATTGAATTCAAGTTCAAACTTGAGTGGTTCACATTCAATCATACACAAGCTTGTGTTTGAGTCAAGTCGAAGCCAACTCTAGTTTGATTTAGTCGAATAGCTACAAGTAACTCAGTTTATTTATGTACAATTGTATATATTTTTAATATATCCTTTAATTGACTTAAAATTTAAATTTAAGATATCTAAACTAGAGTTTTAGATTTTAAATCAATTGAGATACTGTTTATTAAATTTTTTTTTTTTTGAGGTACTCCTTACAGGCAAGACAAAGAATTGGTTTGGGTGATTGGAGTTTGCTTCCGCAAGACCTTCAATGAGCAAGTTTCGTAAAAAAATCTCATTTTGACTATAAATTATTATGATTAAAGATTTTTCAAGTGAACAAACAAAACAAGTGTCATTTCAGATAAAATTTATATAATATGAGTGAATGCATATTTATATGCATTTATATCAAGTGAAAATAATTAATGCTATTTTATTATTAATTTAGTTTGATTTAATTTTTTTTGTATGATATAGTAATTATATTGATGTATAACCATTTTTTCAAAGTAGTTTTCAAATAGTAAAACAGTTTTTACAATAATAAAACATACAAAAACTTACAATTGCAACACCACACAACAATTCCAAATACAAGCAAAAATCAGTGATAAATGGACTCAAATTTGGGAATGAAATGCATTTTTCTTTCATACAATAATCCTCCCTTGTTTAACAAAGATTTTTCATCACATTACAAAGATTTGCTCTAGGATTTCATAATAAACGTCCTACACTTTCAAGAGAATGAATGTGCCAAGCACAATTTCACAAGTATTAAGATCAATTTACACACAACTCTTACATTAATCATCTATATAAAATCTTGATTATTCAATTTTTCACCAAGAATTGTTGAGCTCTACTATGCTTTTTCTATATGAAAAAGATAATTATCTTTAAAAAACAATATAAAATGTAAATAAATCTCAACCATTCATAATATAAAGATAAATAGTTAAGATTTTGTGTATATGTATAAGAGTTATGTATAAATAAATTCTATTTTTTATCATATTGTGCTTTGCACCTTCACTCTCTTGAAAGTGTAGGACCTTTATTCTAAAATCCTAAAGGGAATATTTGTAATGTGACGAAAAATCTCTGTTAAGAGTTCATTGTCAAAAGTCCAAACCATTAATTAATAAGATGTTCCAGAATCCATTCAGCAGCTTCAATAACTCATGTTAACACCATTTGCATAGGGCGTATTTTATGAAGATTGTACAGGAAGTAGGAATTAGTCTTGAAGGTTGATATAGTCGGTCCCATACTTGTGGTTATATCTTGGAAATCCTTGCTTCAACAAGAAGTAGTGTTGAGGTGGCTCAGAATCCACTGTCTAGAGACAATATTGATTGTTCTAAAACAGGTAATTCCCACCTCAATCTTCCAAATCTGCCAACCAAAGAGAATAAAAATAATTAAAGGATACACTTCAAATTCATATGAAAACATAGATGATAGATGTGATCCAAACAACCACATGAAAACCTTAAACCATCAATTACATGTAACAAAGTTCTACAATTAAACTTTATTATCATAAAAGATGTGAATGATCAAGATATCAAAGAGATGTTAATTTAGTAATATACCATATCCTCAATTCTCAGCATAACTTTCAAAAAGACTGCAGACTCAAGTTTACATATCGGACAGAAGAATTCCATCGAAGGTATCAACATTGGCGTGGAAGGCCCCTCAAAATTGACTGCCTACCACGGATAACTTAATTAAGAGAAAGTGATGCTCGTGACAGATGACGCTAAGTGCGTACAGTGTAGTCATCAGGTGGAAAGTTCAAATCATGCATCCTTTTTTTCTTCTGTAAATTTGCATGGGTTTTATGGACTGGATGCTATGAATGGTGGAATCTAACGGTGGCAACAAATGAAGGATTTTTGGTGGGACTTTTCACAGCATCATGACCTTGTTCCCAAAGGTATTTTAGGTGATGCATGGAACAGGGTGATGAGGTTCGCTGTTTTCTGGTCAATATGGCTATGGAGAAATCAGAAAACCTTCGGAGAGGAAGCTGATGTTGCTGACAAGGTACTGGGGCTGGTTAAATTTAGATCTTACTCATGGATTAAAGCTTGGGTGTGGCCTGATTTATCTCTAGATTTATGGTGCATATCATCTATGGAAGCTTTAAGGCAGCGAGCTTAATTGATATCTTTAACAGGGTGTGCATGAAACTTGAAGTAGTGGCGTAGCACCTGTTATAATGATACTTGCTAGTTTTGTATTAATCTTTTATGCTGCTAGTAGGAAAAGCAAACATATAGTAGAATGTATACCCTTGTTCTCTATTAATAAATAAATGAACCCGCTTAAAATGAAAGCAGTAAGACTATTAAAGCAATAAAATGAAACCATTCGATTTGAATATGAGATATAAAGAAATTTGGATTTTTGAAAAGCGAAATGTGTCAGACCTACATAGTTTACCCATTTTATTGAAGTCGAGTTCAATAAGATGCGGCAGTAGGGCTGTCCTGCGGAGTGGAAAAAAGATAGAGGGGAACCTCTGAGATTTCAAACTTTTCTAGGTATTTTCATTCTATAATTGAAGGAAAAAGGAGAAATCAAGAAGGAGAAGAACAGCAGAACGTGCACCGGAGCTTAGTGAAGAAATAAAATAACGATTAATGCCATGTATTTTTGTAGTCTCAGATCTGTTCTGGGTCTCTCCATAATTTTGAGTTCTGCATCTTTCCACTAAATTTCCATAGCCGATTTCGAACATTCTTCGGTTGACAATTTAGTTATTCCGAACAATTTAAACACCCACATGAAAGCAACTATTTTATGATCTATGGGATGGCTTGAAGATTAAAGAAGGTATGAGTAGACAAAGGGCAAGAAAAGAATGGTTCAGAGATGGAGATGCAAACACCCAATTTTTCCACAGATGCATAAGAAACAGACAGAGAAAACAGGAGATCAACTGCATTGAAATAAACGGCTGCCAACAAAACAGTGTACAGGGAATTAAGGAAGGGATAGCCAAGCACTTTGAAGAGCTATACAGAGAAGAGGATTGGGCTCGACCCGTTTTAAATGGCATCAACTTTAAGCAAATCTCAACTGCCCAAGCCAACCTACTGACATCTCCATTTTCTGAGGAGGAGATCAGAAAAGCAGTATGGGATTGTGGGTGCTCTAAAGCTCCAGGACTAGATGGATTCAATTTCCTTTTTTTCATACGCATGTGGGAAGTAATTAAGAAGGATATTGTCGATTTTGTTCAAGAATTTCACAAAAATGGGAGATTAGTAGCTGGATCAAATGTCTCATTCATCACCCTCATCCCGAAGGTCTGCAATCCACAGAAAATTGAAGATTATAGGCCAATTTCATTAATAGGAGCCATGTACAAAATCATTGCAAAGCTTCTTGCGAATCGGCTCAACTTAGTGATTCCTGATGTCATCGGGAAACAACAAATGGCCTTCATTAAAGGTAGGCAATTAAGTGAAGGAGTAATAATTGCCAATGAAATTATAGATGATGCCAAAAAGCAGAAGAGAGAGTGTTTCTTGTTCAAAATAGATTTGGAGAAGGCATTTGATAAAGTCAGCTGGCACTTCTTGGACTACATGCTCATGAGAATGAGATTTGGAGATATCTGGAGAGGATGGATCAGGGAATGCCTACAAACCAGCATGATATCAATCCTAGTCAATGGTAGCCCCACAAGGCAATTCAAGGTCAGTAAAGGCTTGAGACAAGGTGACCCCCTTTCACCCTTTTTGTTTTTGATAATAGCAGAGGGACTAAATGGAATCATCACAAAGGCAACTGAACTAAGTCTGTTTGAGGGCGTGGAAGTAGGACAAAATGGTGTTCGTTGTTCATATATCCAATTTGCAGATGATGTTTTGATCTTCGGAAAAGCATCGGAAAGCAATGTTTAGGCAGCAAAGTGCATATTGAGGACATTTGAGCTAGCAACTGGACTGACAATAAACTATTCAAAAAGCCAACTCATGGGGGTTAATGTAGAAGAAGACTGGTTGGACAAAATGGCCTGCCTCTTGAATTGCAAGATCGGGTGTTTGCCATTCAAATACTTGGGGGTCCCTGTTGGAGGTAATCATAGAAGAATGGAATTGTGGAAACCCTTGATTGATACCTTCTCAAAGAAACTGACTACTTGGAAAGGTCAACGGCTCTCTCTTGGTGGCAGAATTACTTTGCTTAACTATGTGCTCTCGTCCTTGCCAGTGTTTCTCCTGTCTGTCTACTTGGCTCCCAAAGGTATTATCAAAACTATTGACAAAATTAGAAAAAAATTTCTGTGGGGAGGGTGCAAAGAGTCTAAGAAAGTCCACTGAGTTAAATGGGAAAGGGTATGTAAAGGTAGGCTGGAGGGTGGATTAGGGGTCAAGAACATGAGGTATCTTAACCTCTCATTACTTGGTAAATGGTGGGATAAATTAGCAAAGGGCGAGGGTTCTCTCTGGTATAAAATTATTAAAGAAAAATATGGGAAAGAGAGTGAAAACTGGTACGAGTGGGTTAGGGAGGGTAGAGGGTATGGATCAAATTGGTGGAAAGATATATGCAAGGTAGACAACTTAGAAGTCAGCAACTAAGGGTGGCTTTCCCAAGGGTTTGAAATTAGAATTGGGGATGGAGGTGCTGTGAGTTTTTGGAAAGATAGGTGGAGTGAGGAGGGAATCCTAGCTAACAAATACCCAAGACTTTATTTGATCTCTACAGGAATGGACAACAAAGTTAAGCAAATGGGAGAATGACATGAAGGACAATGGGAATGGAACCTGAACTGGAAATGAGAATTACGTGAATGGGAAGTAGTAGCAAAGGACCAAATACTTCAAAGCTTGGACTCTGTCAAACTACAGCAAGGAGTCAAAGACAACTGGGATTGGATACACACCAAGGATGGAGCCTACACAGCAAAATCGGGATACCAACAGCTAGCCTCCCTTCAAAATAGCAATCACAGACATGAATTTAGCAGAGTGTGGAACAGCTACATTCCAACAAAGATTTGCAGGTTTGTTTGGCAACTCCTTCTCAACAAAATTCCTACTAAGGCAAACCTATTCAAAAGGGGAGTAATCTCACAAACCCATGAATTAATCTGCTGTTTATGTAATGAACAAGTTGAAGATAGAGATCATCTCTTCCTGAAGTGCAGAATAGTTGATGAAATCTAGAACAAGTGCTATAAATGGTGGAACTTACAAAAAACAAACTCTAAAAATTGCTGGGAGGCATTCGTGAAGCATGCAGAATCTCCACCCCACGCCAAAAAGAAAAAGGAGTGGGAAGCCATTTGGTTCTCAGTGACTTGGACAGTTTGGCTGACCAGAAATAGAAAATTGTTTCAAAAAGAGGAGGTTGACACTGCAAGGATGTTTGATTTAATCCAAACAAGAGCCTTTTTGTGGATAATGAACAGAGGAAAAAACAAGCATTGCTTATTTTCAGACTGGATTCTTAACCCCAACCTGTGTATTTTCTAATTCCCCTTTGAATGAGGGATGTGGTATTTTGCACTAAAATGTTTATGGATTTGAGTACCCCTTGTACTCATTATTAATAAAATTTCTTTGCCTTTCAAAAAAAAAAAAAAATGAAGCTGTGAAGGATCTAAAGCTCCGGGACCGGATGGGTACAATTTTAACTTTCTTAAATTTGCTTGGGATAGTGTAAAGGAAGATTTTATGACTTTCTTTGCAGAGTTTCACAAGAATGGTAGATTAGTTAGTGGGCTGAATTCATCTTTCTTAGCTCTAATTCCTAAGAAGTTTAATTTTATGGAATTAAATGATTATAGACCCATTAGCTTGATCGGGTGTGTTTACAAACTGTTAACAAAAGTGTTGGTCGATAGAATTAAGGTCGTGATGCCGGATGCACCAAATACGCACTAATTTTAGGCAAGTGAACCTAATCGATTATGCAGTATAAGATGAGTAAGATATCGTTCCCTCGAAGACTATCCTACACTACCAAGACCCTATTAATCTAACCTAAGTTGAATTAATCAATTAATGAGAAAAGACTAAACTATTTAAAAGAAAACTAAGTCGACTAAAGAAAACTAAACTAAAGAATTTTCTAAGTTAAAGAAACTATGAATGAGAAAGAACCATGGTTTGGATTTCATTTAATTCTAAATTATACAACTGTTCCATTAATTTAATTCAAGTTCAAATAATAGTGTTATTGCATGAGATGACAGATTTCCCTAAATTAATTAATTAGCTTTCTCAAGTCAAGCTAATCCTTAATTTGTTTGCTAAATTAATCATATCTCTATGTAATTTTAAACAAACTAATGAGCATTAAATTCTATGGAAACCTCTACCTTAAGAAAGGGGAGCTACTAACTCTCTTCTCTTCCTCCACTACCACATGTGAGCTAATTACCTCTCGGTCTCATAGTCTAGCACACGGTTTATATTATTATTAGTCTAATCTATGCAATTCTTTCTCAAGTTCATACATAAATCACTAAATCAATTGAAAAGTGATCAGGCTCTCAATGCATTAAACTCAATAATATAAACTCAATAATATAAACTCATCATGCAAATAACCAATAAATCTTGAATTAAACTAACAAAAATAGTCACATATTCCAAAAATTAAAATCCATCCATCCCTAGTTCAAAGAATTCTAGCCACACATGTATATGTTTTCAACCACCATGAAAAATAAATCCCAGTAGAAATTCATAATAAAAAGTTCAGAAACAACAAAACCCAAACAATGAAGAATTGCAGTTTGCCGAATGGTGTGCTGTGGTCGGGATCTCCCAAGAAGGCTGGGCGGCAGCGTGGCTCTTCTGCAAACGGAATTGGTTCTTGCGTTCTCAATTCGCAGAGCAGATTTGTGCGGTTCTGTGTCTTCTTCTGCTGCTGGTGAACAACAGATGCGGATGGCAAGAAGGCTGGGCGGCTGGACGGCTTCTCTTCCAATGTGCAGAACAACTCCTCTCGCGTCTGTGTGGCTCCCCCTTCTGTTCTGCCGACTAGCATCTTATATCTCCCTCCAGAAATTAAAACCCATTAAAACCCTTATTTCTTTTAACCCTAGCAGACATGAGTAATGGGCTTTAGTTTGGGCCTGGATTGCAGTTGGCCCACACTTATAAAACACAACCCAATTCTCTTTATTTCCGCATTCTGTTCATTCAAAACCGTCACTTTCAACCAAAAATCTGTATTGATACAGCTAGAACTGGGTTAAGCTCATAAAACATCAATTGTAGCTCTGCCTCTTAGCTTTCTAACGCCTAAAGAATCATCTCAATCCGATACCTAGAGAAAAAGATATGGTTAAATTACTACAACATGTGCAAATTGTCACTTATTACAAAATTAATTCCTATCTTAATTTCCACCCACAAATAATGAATTTAATATAAACAAAGGTGAAACTAAGTTACAAAAAACCCATAAAATTTAATTCTAGGCTCAAAAAGGGTAGATAAATGCATATAAAAATTAAACTCATCAGGGATTATCAGTGAAACTCAATTTGCTTTCTTGAGAGGACGTCAATTAGTTGATGGAGTACTAGTGTTGCATGAGGTTGTGGAGGAAGTTAAGAGAAGGAAGCAGTCGGCTTTTGTTTTCAAGGCTGATTTCGCGAAGGCATATTATTGTGTGGATTGGTCATTTTTGGAATGGATGATGGATCGCTTGGGTTTTGGAATCAAATGGAGAGGTTGGATTATGGAATGCTTGTCGACTTCTAAGATTTCAGTTCTAGTTAATGAAAGCCCGACGGAGGAGTTCAAGGTTGAAAAGGGATTACGACAAGGGGATCCTTTATCCCCATTCTTATTCTTGATGATTGGAGAGGGATTAAATGGATTGGTTCAGAAAGCAGTGTTGGAGGGTATGTTTCGAGGTATAGAGATTGGCAGGAAGGGGTTAGCAGTTTCTCTACTTCAATTCGCGGATGACACAGTCATTATTGGAAAGGCTGACATAGAGAATATAATCATGGTTAAAACAATTCTGTGATGGTTTGAACTGATGTCTGGTCTACATATTAATTTCAGCAAGAGCAACATTTATGGATATAATGTTCCAATGAGATGTGTTGAAGGATCAGCAAGTTGCTGCGATGTGGAGTCAGAAAATCACCTTTTATTTATCTAGGAATGCCTGTTGATGGAAATCCAGGGAATAAGAAACTATGGGAACCGGTGATAAAAAAATTTCATGCTAAACTTGCTGTCTGGAAAGCTGCTTCGCTATCCTTCGGTGGTTGCCTCACTCTGCTTAACTCGGTACTTTCTGCTCTACCCATTTTTTATATGTCATTATTTTTAATGCCAAATTCTATGGTAACTAAGTTAATTCGTATTCAAAGAACTTTTTTATGGGGAAGGGGGGAGTTAAAAAAGAAGATTTCATGGGTGAAATGGGAACATGTGTGTCGCAGTAGGGTAAAAAGGGGCTTGGGGGTGTAGGATTTGCGTTGAAAAAATTGGGCACTACTAGGGAAATGGTGGCATAGATTTGGGGATGGGGTAGAGAGCCTGTGGAAAAGGGTACTAACAGAAAAATATTACGAGGGCAAATGGAAGGAGGTGGATATTAAGGCTATTGAGAATTGGAGAGTATCTAAGCTTTGGAGAGATATTATTAGTATAGGGGGGCGGTCGATGAGACTACAGAGTATGTTGGTAGAGGGGTTTAGATGGGAAGTGGGTGAAGGAAATCGGGTGGGTTTTTGGAGAGAATGGTGGATAGGGGAAAAAAAATTAAGGAATCTATACCCAAGGCTGTACGTACTGTCTATGAATAAGGAGGGTAATATTTGTGAAATGGGGGTATGGGAAGGGGATAAATGGAGTTGGAAACTGGAATGGAGGAGGGGGAGAATAGGACGAGAGAAGGATGATGAAGAGGCGTTGTGGGAGAAGTTGGGTAATTTGCAATTAAAGAAGGGTGTTGAAGATTGTTGGAGGTGGCTACATGATTCAAATGGTAGTTATATGGTGAAGAAGGCTTATGAATTTTTGGCCCCTTCGGAGGGTATCTTAGAGGAACAGTTGTGTAAGGTTATTTGGTGCAGATTAGTGCCATCCAAAGTGTCTTTCTTTGGATGGCATTTATGTCTTGATAGGCTTCCAACTAAGTGGAACATTAGAAAGCAAGGGGTGCATTTACAAGAAGAGGAATTAATGTGTGTTTTGTGCCATAACATGATTGAGGAGGCTAACCATTTATTTAGTATGTGTAAAGAAGCATGGATTTTGTGGACAGAGGTGTTGCAGTGGTGGAACATGAAGACAATAATGCCAAATATCGTACGAGGAGTGGCAGACATCTTTGTATACGATTTGGGTAGGGTAGTAGGGAAGGAGATGGGTGCTTGTATCTTTCTTGTTGTATCATGGTATTTATGGTATTGAAGAAATGGTAAGGTATTTGATAATGAAGCTATCATCAGGGGAAGATTACTAGATATGATTCAAGCCAAATCATTTTTATGTATCAAGAATAAGGTAAATGGTTGTGCCTTTTCATTTAATGAGTGGAAGGTTAACCCTGTAGCGTGTGCTCTGTCAATGAGAAGCCATAAACAAGCAATGAAATTGTTTCATAAACAACAAAAAGAAGGCTACACTGCAGAACGGAGTGCAAGTTGAAATTTGTTTGGTGCATGAAGGCTTCATTGAGCAGGTATTTTACTGTAGCATGTTAGTTAAGTTGTAGTAAATACATGCTCAACGATTTTGCATGTCAGTGGATTTGAAAAGTGGAAGTTTTTTGATGATAAGAATAGGGAATTATGTAGAAACTATAAAGGAGGACATAAATTCGACATGGGTATAGTGTCGATACTTTATCATTATTTTCTGTTCAAAAAAAAAAAAAGAAGATCTTTTTTTTGACAGAAGAACTGGTCAATCCACAGCAACCCTCTTGGCCTCAAAATCCTGTCCCAATCAAACAGGATGAAATCCATCAAAATAAAATCAATCCAGCCATCCATGAACGCGGTAGTGTGAATCAAATCCATTGTATTATCAAAGAATGGAAGGCGTTGGTTTAGGGTTGCATATAGAGGGATCAAACTTCTGAGAGCAATTGTTTCACTAAAAGGAGCACCAAGATTCAAAGCAGTGGAGATGATTGTAACATTAAGTTCTCTCATCCGGACAGCAAATGTCCCAGTACCAACACCGAAGTCTAGGCCAATCCTGATCTCTCCAGGCTTAATAGCTAGAATATCCTTGATTAGGAACTCTACAGGGAGTGAGCTATTAGTTACCCATTTCAACTCCTCCTTCTCCATCTCAAAACACCCTGTGCACTTGGAAAAACCTCTTTTGGGATTCTTGCTCGACCAACACGCAAAGTCCCTGCATTGATAGTTGCTCCATCTCACATTTCTTTCATCTGGTAGCTTCCATAGAGACTCATTGATGGGATAGGGTTTTTGGTACACCTTAGAGGCTCTTGTCAAGCACCGCCTTCGTGGCAAAGGATCACAACCATAAACCATGAGTTTCTGGGCCAAGTTCCAATCGTCTTTGCAGTATGATCCTATATCATAGTCCATGTACTCCTCCAATTCTTTCTTCATCAACACACATGTGTGCCCTATTGTGTTGTAAATCTTCTCAGTTCCATATATATTAACCTTCTCAAATCTGTTGTCTTTTGGGGTTATATACTTCCGGATTTCTTCGGTCACAAATGCATTAATCAAAGGCTCCTCCTTCATCGTTGAGTTTCCAATTCCTTCAAACTTAGGCAAACGAATCTGTCTAAGAGAAATGTGAGCAATGTAGAGAGGCCTGATCACCTCTTCCTCCAAAAATTTCTTATACTCCAAACCTGGAATGGTAGTTCTCTGTAGTTCCCCTTTGTTCTTCTCCATCTGTTGCACAGTTTTCTCAAGTTTTTCTTGCAAATTTTCCATCTTGTTCAGTACTTCCTCAACTCTTTCTGACAGTGATCTTATATCAAATCCATCATAAACATCCTGGACGCAATAAAAGTGGTGGCAAATATCTTCTTTATGCAGGAAAAACCCAGCAGAATAGAATGTGTAAAGACTAGATATGCTTACAAGTATGACAAGGGTTCCTAATAAGATCTGAAGCCAACCCATTATTCTCCCCAATCTGCATTTTGGGAAGCATGATTTCCTCATCTTTTAGCACCCGTACTCAATCCAATTTTCTCTGTAATTGCTTCTAATTTTCTTGTTCATCTCTTGCATTTTAGAATTTCAACCTAACGAAGGTTAAAGTACATAAATTAGGGGAATAAAAAGGAAGCAAAAAACCTAGTAAAGCAAGTGATCCGTGACATAAGCATGCAAGATATCTATTTGGCTGCTAAAGAAATCTACGAAAATAAAAGGAAATAGAACAATCTATCACATATTCTCCCTTGGAGGCATATAAAGTTATAAACAAGCACAAGATAGACTAAAATGAAACAATAAAAATTTCAGGTTTTCCTTCCATTTTCTGCAAAAATGAGCCTGAGACTGAAATAACTAATCAACACCCAATAGAAACTGGAGCTTCATAATCAAATTTAAAACATACCCAGATGGAATCGCTCTTCCATTGCAAATTGTATGAGCTTTCTGAGCAATCAACTTCACAAAATAGACCTTTTGCTGGCTTTCTCTCCCGGAAACTTTAAAATGACACAAAGTTACAACTCTGATAAAAGTTTTAAATCTGAGTAAAGGAGTTCCCCGATGATCTTTTGAGCTGGAAAATCGTGAAATTCAAGCTAAAAGTTCCCAAGGGATTGCTTGTTATCCAAAAGACAATAAATAAGACGAATCTCGTCAAAAGAAGAAGATTAATTAAATTACATACAAAACTAAATAAGCGTTTGACTTGCAGAGAGCCGTAATTGAGGTTGAAGATGAGTCAGCTCGAGTTGCGGTGGAGTTGGATCGCTCACTCCTTCCCCTCGTCGTTGTCAAAGGACTGCATGTAAATTGTCAAATCCACTGGGTTGCTTAAGCCATTGGTATCCAACACTACTGAGAGAATGAACTCTTGGATATCAAAGTATCTCTATTCTGCTGGAAGATTAAATTAATTTCCTCTATTATTCAAAGGATCACAACATTCTAACACTCTACTTTATCCTACCTAGAATGTAATCAAGGAGGTTGAAAAACTTTGTAGTACTTTCTTATGGAACGACCCCACAGAAAGTGCAGAGTGTTGTAAGGTTAGCGGGCAATCTGTGCGCTTCCCTAAACAGGAGGGTGGCTTGGTATTAGAAGCCTCACTCACTGGAATATGGCATGTGGGCTAAGCTTCATTTAGATGATCTTCATTTGGGTTGCATGGGTAAAGGAATACTCGCTAAGAGAGGAGTTTTTGGTATATTAACATCCTTTCTAACTCATCTTGAGGATAAAGGAAAATACCAGCAATATGATTGGATTGAGGGGAATGGGGCTGAATAAAAAAAAAGTTTTTCTATTTGATTATAAACAAATTGGAGGAGAAGGGAGGGACAAGGAAAGGAGGGAAATAGAAATATATAATTTTCCTCTCTTTCTCTCCCCTCCTCTTTATTCCCCTCAACCTAAATATAGGGTAAAAATAAGAAATTATGCTAGGGCTAGGTTTAATACAGCATGTACTTGGCAATGTCATCAATACTTTTCTTTGGTATCCTATAAGATTTAGTTAGTTAAACAACCTCTACCTTTAGGGTATTTAAAACAAGTAGTGTATGGCATTTCTTACGTGTAAAGTAGGTGAAGGTACCATGGCATAGATCAATATGGTTTCCCATATAATCCCTAAGCATAGTTTCATTTACTAGCTAGTACTCTTGAATTGGTAATCAACAAGAAGTAGATAGAGGAAATGGACTTTTACTATTGCCTCCCTCTATATGTAATGGTTATTATGAATCAAAATTATTGTGAATGTTTCACCTTCATCATCTTTCTCCTCACTACTTTCCCTTGCAAATACACACCAAGTAATGGTGATTAACTCCTCACTTCCTAATGTAAAAATAGTGATTAACATCCACTTTCTAATGCAATTGCAATAGTGATAAAACTTATCTTGTAACCCTTCT